ATTGCAGGAAGTCTTTTCCAAGGTCGAAGAGAAATAAACAGAAATTACACAGCTGCCAGAATCTATTACTGCTGAATCACACAGCACAAGGCCTATCCAACGGGCACAGACCACTCATTGAGTCTACTAAGTAAATATACACGATCTAGGGCACGTCCACACATTTATGTGTATATACTGTGTTATCCACACATGGCCAGAAGGTCCCGTGCACATAACAAAGTAAAGCACGTAAATTAGAATCGCCCACTAGTGTCACATCTTATTTTTGTGAATGTCATTGTTTGTGTTCTGTATACACCTCTGTTTAATTCAATTTAAACACAAACACAATATATAAAATGGAGTCCCCCAGACGTAGCACAGTGTAAGAACTGAAAAAAAACTAGTTGAGAGAGGCTGGTAGATTCTCCATGGCAAAACATATTAAATTTACTGTAAGCAGGTCTCAACCGGGCATGAAAATGCAAAGCTTTCGTGTTGCCCCCCCCCAGTCAAACTTCCCCCCGAATAGCTCTAGCTACATCTTTTCTACATTCACACACAGCACTGGGTTTGACCTTTTGCAGCACGCTCTTGGCCATTTCCAAGTTTCAGCTGCTCACAGGCAGGTAATAACAGTGTTTCAACCCAAGAAAGCACAGACATTAAGATGTAATATTAATATGTAGAAATCATTGATGTCTTCTCTACATTTTTACCTTTCACATTATTACATCATTATCTTAAAACATGAAATGGAGTCATTGCCAAACATGTTGTCGCCGATCGTCTGAATGATTACTGTACATCTCCTACATGCATTACAGTTACAGCAAATTGTGATGCCGCTACAATTATCTGAATCCAGATAAATAAAAATGCATCTTTCTCCCTACCCCTTTTGTTGTGAGTAGCTGGCAAAAAAAAGAGGAATTCATTTTCATTTTTTCAGATTAAGACAACGTTATGATATAAAAGTCTTTGCACAAGGTAAAATTCCAAATGCAGATTTATTACAGTAGAGCCTTCAGGAAGCACAAATACAATGATGATGTCACATTGAAAACAATGACAGTTGCCAAGAGACATTTCTGAAATCGTTAAAAAGAAGAAAGTTAAAACTTTACTAAGCAAACATGGAAAACACAATCCAGACACATTACCACCTACAGGACTGTAAAACATGAGCCATGCTTGCAAATTGATTTTGCTAACTAAATTCTGTTGGGATACTGAAAACACATAAAGGTGAGAGGCATTTGTATTTGAATTTGGCTCAGTAATAACGAAAAAAGAATAATGAACATAAATAGCTTTTCTGACCCTCCACTTTCCTGTTCAGCTCTCCATTTTCAAACGTCACATGGTATAGAAGCCTTTTTTCTACTGTGTTGCCTCCATTCATTACCCAACAGATTACTTTCACTCATGCCCTTTCCCATTTCCGCTTCCAATATCTTTTCATCTTTTTTGTCTTTTAACTTCACACATATATTTATTATTGATGGTCATCCAGATTGTACCCAGCCTACACAATCTCTAATTCATTTTTGACAAGATTAGAAGACCAACAGTGCAACTTTAATGGCCTCGATTACTCTGAGAGGAAAGGATACAGTCAGGAAATGTCTAATTTGCATAAGCACATTCATAATGCAGACACTGTGTTCAGTTTTAGTGTTAGGACAGTCTTATCTATTTTCTAACTATACTGTTCAAATGAAAAATAGCAATCTGGTCAACATGTCCGAATGAAAAAATAATATTCAAATTGTGCCACTGACTGTGACAATAAAAACCTTTAATTAAGTGGTAATGACAGATACCGACATATTTACTGCTTGAACATATATCGTGTCATTTTTAGCAGATTGTATTTTTGTGATGTTGGTCAATTTCCTTCAGCTGTGGTTGTTTGGAATTTGCTGCCCCCTGTTGAAATGAATGGAATAACTTCAGCCTCATTTCACACCAAAGAACAAAAGCTGTGAATGTTTTGTTAAAAACTGAAGTATTGTTAAAGTAGAAAATAACTGTACCTCTCATACTGTCTGGCTCTAAGCTTGAAAAGCCATTCAAATCTGATGCCTTAGGTTTGATTAAGTTTTAACAACATTGTAGTGGTCATTCTTCCTGTTATCAAATCATTTTGTAATTAACATAAAGCTCAAATAGTCTGCAGTGTGGCTTTTCCTCTGAGCTCATTAATGGAATTTAATAAAAGTCAGATGCAATGACAGACCCCATATTTGGTTGAAATCTCAGCGACATAAGTCATGTGTATATTTGACCATCAATATGAATGAAATATGAATAATACATAAATGATTAACCAAACAAGACTCACAAATAAAAAGTGTTCTTGTTTTTAGTCTCTGTTTTTTTAATTATGTGTATGCCTCCCTCTTTTGTCATTAGCATTTTAACCATCAACTCTTTCCATTCCCTCTTTCTCTCCATCTCACTGATAATTACTTGGTTCCTTTGGTGCTCTCCCTCTGGGTGCTTATCAGAAAAACCTAATATAATTTACATGAGATTAAACCCATGAACAACACAAAGGGACTTCTGTGAGATTACTACACACTGATGTCTAAGTGCCAAGGAGCACAACAATAAGATAACTTCAGCAGCTTTCATTCCTGTTAAGTTCAAATAAACTATAGGTTAGTTCTATTTTTTTGTTTTTACAGAAAATACAGTATTTGCAATATTTGGTGGTTAGCGCTGTCTCCTGGCAGCAAATAGTTTTTCTCCAGCTTCGATCCACAGTCCAATGCATGCTAGGTTGATTGGAGATTTTGAATTTGGCCCTGTTGTTTGTCTGGTGTTGGCCCTGTAATGTACTGGTGATCCTTCTAATGTGTGCCCTGTCACTGCCATCTCCCCAGTGGCAGCTGGGATAGGCTACAACATCCCACCCTTTCAACCCTTTCAACACTCCATTCCATGACTTTGATATATAGTACAGATTAATGGTTGGATGCAAGAACATCATATTGTATTGGAAATATTAGAATTGGAGATAAGAGTTACAGTAGAAGATAATAAATGGAGGGGTGATTTGATGTGGTTTAATAAGTGTGCCATCTATGCTTTTACAGTTCTGTGATTTTCTTGTACATTGATTCTCCCCACCCAAAGATCAAGATAAAATCTAGGCTGATATGATCTTTAGGCAAGGCTGACTTTTGGCCACGGCACATTGTGTTCCCATCTTGGCTTTGTCCTTAAGCATTGCCCCAGAAATCTGTGCGTGACTCAACTAATCTGCCTCCTCTGTAAGAGAAACGGAAGCAAGAATACCACTACTCCTTAAAAATCTCTCTAACTGACATTTCCCTCGACTGTCTCATGTTTTATTTCTTGTCTTTTGCTTTATTGCTCCCGTAAATACATATCTGTGTTACTATATGCATCATTGTTATATAAAAAGAGTGCAATGTATCTAATCATATTCGTCTTCTCTTCCCTCCTGTGTTGTTTTTGCAGCTGCATAACTCAATTGTAGTTGCCTACAGTCGTTGCTCTCCTTGTATTAGGCCCTGAGTTGAAGCTGTAACTGTCAATAATTCCTAAGTTAATTCTGAAATATTTTTTGGGAAAAATTGCACAAACTGAACAATATTTGTTTTGCTGAGAAGAGAATATTGGGTGCTTAAAACACCACAGCAATCAAAAGCTCATTTTGTGAAAATATTTGTTACAATAGCTAGAACCATCCAGCTCTTGTCAAGCTGATCACCATATGATGTTCTCTAAACCAATAGTTTTTCGTCAGACTGTGGTTTCAGTCTCTGTATAAACATGGACACATCACTAACCTATACTTCCGCAAAGACAACAATCATGACTGTTATTCTACAGCCTTCGTTTTTTTTCGGATGATTTTACTGCGTGTCAGTTTTCCGGCAGGATGCACGTTTCCACATTGTGGTTCTCCCTCTGAGCTGTTTCTGATTTGTTGCCCCAAGGAAAACCTGACTAAATACATATCATCAGTCTTATTTCTAAACCATCCTGGGAAGAAGTGGAAGAAAAAATTCAGCCCAACAGGGATTTAACTTTTTATGTATGGTGTGTGCCTTTCAGCTTTGGATTTGATAAAAGCGTATCTCTAAAGGAAATTGAGTAATGGAAAGCAAAGAGTAACACTGCAGCACTTCAGGGGTGCTGATTTTCAGTTTAGAGAGCAGTATGAAGGAAATTGAAACTTTTCTTTGTTATCTGAATGCATTTGGCACCAAATTCTGAAACTTTATTTAGCTCATGAAATGCTCTCTGAAGTTGCCTGTATAATATCAATGTGATACGGCAAAAGGTTTTTCTCATACCATATCTTGCGCAGACATCACCTTCAAGTCCTAGAATCTAAGGCTGATTTCTGATCTGCATCAGTGTTGTGCATGCAGAGCTGCAAACAGCCACACATACACAAACAGAGTATTGGCACCCACAAAATCTTTACAAAGGATTTACAAAATCCCCAAAAACTAATTGTATATCATGTGAAAGAGTTTGTTGTTCTATTTGTTTGCTCTTCCTACATCTTTGCACAAGCAGGTTTCCCCATTAGTGGGTGTGTTTCTGTTGCCCACTTAAGTGAGTACATCTCAAGATTTGCCCTTTTGATAGATTGGCTTTCAGTAATGCTTTGCCAAAGCTTTTTGGAAAGGTGGATTAAAAGAAAATCCATGATTTTTCTTTGCCTTTTTTGGGAAGGACTTTGGACTGACCTCTCTGAATCTTTTTCAACTCAGCACTTGTATATCTGCAGTATTGTTATCCTATACACGGCATGTACATTATGTATAGCTACTAAAAACACAGGAAGCTTTTCTTTTTCATTTGTGATGTTTTTGTTACATAACGGGCAACAAATTAAATGTTCAGTATGTTCAGTCGTTTCTTCTTCACAGTCATTTGTTTGACTTGAAATTTGTGGCATCTCTTTTGCATTATCTGAACATAGACTGACAGAATGAGACAATCACAAAAATAAAGACCAAAGTCTAAAATCCAATTGATTTCATATTTATTTTTAAAAATGAGTAAGCTGACAGTTCATGTGTCTCGTGAATACCAAAGTGTGTGTGGAAAAGTACAGAACAGTAAAACACTTTTCATTATATTTCTATAACAAGATCTTTTGAACATATCAAAAGTCATAACAAATGAACAAATTCTTTTTCTTTATCATTACACATATCAAGAAATAGACCATAGATTTCTACAGGGAAAGATGTAGAGATATACATCAATGCCATAAATGTTAAACAGCAGACTACAATTTCTGATACACAAAACTATTAACTTGTTCAACCAGCTGTAAGAAGGAGATAATGTCAGAATGCAGCCACATCAGAGGGACCAATCACATATTCAAGAGGACTTCACAGCTTGTACAGGAGGAACTTCAGTCACTAAACACATCCTCAATTTCTTTCAATTCCTACTCAATTGCACACTTCCTCCTCTCACCAATTCCTTAATTCTTCACCTTAATACTATACCTCCTCATGGAAAACTGTGATAATGTTTTTCATTACCTCTGATGCTGTCCTCTAATTACATTTTCATCAGAACAAACAGGAAAGAAAATTAGGGAGGTGATGAATGGAGGAATGAAAATGATGATGTTACCATAGACTGATCTGAACAATGAGTCCTGCTCATTGTCTCTAATGGTGACTATGTTTGTAACATGTACTCACAGTCCTAAAGTGGCTCATACAGCAACATTTCTCAGTGTCAGAAGAAGTCACAGAAACTCAAGTCATTCTCAAGACTATTGCTGAGGCATAAATGCGTGTTATCATGCAAAAGTATTACAGTTTCATAGGAGTCCTTTGTTATTGGTCAAGCCAACCATTTGAAGAAAAGAAACAGAATATATTAAAGAGGCAAATGTTGAGAGACAGAGTAGCAGCAGTTGAAGTTGAAATGGAAGGACAGTGAGAGGAAAGGGGGAAGAGATGAAGCCAGAGAATACAAAGAATGAGGATTAAAAGACAGATGAGGTTTGAAATGCTCATCTGATGTGCGTCCATCTCTCCTTCTACAGGCGGAATAGGAAATAAAAATGCAGGGTTGGAGGCACGTCTGTCAGTCTGTGTTAGGCTCAGCATAATTACTGTGAAATGATAGATATCCATGACTTAAAGGAGGGCAGCTAGAGGAGAAAGAGGTGTGTTTAAGACTCAGCCTGCGAGTAACACACGTCTATTTGTAGCCTTGGGATGATCTGTAGCTAAAACCATAAAATAATCTATCTCTTTAACTATAGTAGTTGGTTTCACACTGGCTATATCCTCAATATTTGTTTTGTACTAATTCCTTCTATTTAGCTGTATACCTCCTAGTCAGAGAATTTAAGCAGTGGACTCAATATGTACTAATGTGTCAATCAATGGCCTTATTAACATCATTGACTTATATATTGTGAGCATTTTTTGGCTATACTGACCTAAAAGGATGTAAAAATGTTCAACAGCCCTCAAAGTTGTAGCTGGTTCAGGTAAGACTCTTTGTCAACAACAGTTTTACTTTCAGGAATGTTACCTGTGGTCCCAAAATTAAGACATATTGCACTGAACTATGCAGAATGGTCCTCAAGCTGCTACATTTTAGATATTCACACAAGGGAACCTTGTAACAAATAAGGAGGCATAGCACGTTGCCAAGAAATGTTCAGTGAAAGCCAAGAACAGATCAACGCATTGGTTTTGTTCTAAAGGCACAGACACCAGTGAGTCTTTACCAGGTGCCAGGAAAGGTGTTAACCATTGAACGCATGTCATCAAACACATGTAACATATTAATAGTTAGAAAAAGTGGTATCAGCTGCTTTAGTAACGGTATTAATTGAAAACGGAAAAACGTGTTACACAACATTTGTGCAAAATAGTAGCAGACTATATAGTTGTCTGATTGCCCCCCCCCCCCCCTTTTTACGAGACAAAAGGGGCTTTCGGAATAATTTCTTTCATTTTTTTGTGGCTGACAGTGTTGTTGTGGTTTAAATTTTTGTTGGACTTCTCATAAAGACTTTGAGTTGCTCAGTTGGGATGTCAGTTAGAAATGCGTCTCCTTCTCTGAAATGGTGGATACTTTCCCATCGACTTTAAGTTTTGCATCATTGACAGCATATGGACTCAGCGCAGCATGTTTCCCTCTCATTTTTAGGTCTGGACTGGGAGTGGTCAACTTTCTTATTCTCTGCAGAAAACAGGACACAGGAGAAAAAGAAAGGTGTAATTCTTCATCATCTAATTTGTTATATTAAAGAGATAAAAATTCCTTAAAACATTTGTAACAAAAAAATGTAACTATCTCTCTGCAAAAATACACTACATGTTTACAACATCACTGATTTTATCCAGGTCTGCCAAATGCCTGAGGCCCTCCCTGGTAATCTGATATAAAAAAAACAGTGGTTGGTTTATTTGATCCTCCCTCAAGCAAGGATGAGAAATCAAACACCTACATCAAGATCTGCCTTTTAAGAAAAACAGATGGCAACCACTGTTTAAATTCATTCAACGAAAAACTGCGAAGCATTTGGTTAATGTTGAAAACATCTTGACTTTTAAGCCTAAACCGTTATCTGCATCATTTGCTGAAAGTCCTCAATCACCAGATATTTATGCCAAGATCAGGTTCTGTTCTATTATGAGGCTTCATGACTTCAGTTACTTAAATCCCTACTGGAAAACGTTAATATAATGCAGTGAGCAAAAAACTATTTCTTCATTCTATTTCCATTTTGTTATTATTGGGTGACAGCCTGGAAATGCCAGTGAAGATTCAACCTTGTGTCTGCTCTTACCTCAGTAAAGGTGCCAGGTGTCTTCCAAATCATCCAGATAATCCCCAGTGGGATGCACACCATGGACGACATAGCCATGAACCAGCCTATGCCATAGCCCCAGTCAGGGTAGGTGTAAACGTTGTTGTACTTCAGAGGTTTGTATTTAATCAAGAAGAAAAGGAAAATTGCCTGCAGCAAAAAGGAAAATTCTGTTTGCAAATATAATTTTGATAGTTGAATCTCTGTGGTCTACAATAAATATGGACAGAGCCTCCCATTTTTACAATGGGATCCAGAGTTGTGTAATGAGATTTTAAGCTTTGTTAAACTATATATATAATTAAACCAGTAGTTACCGTGCTGCTAAGCCCTGTAAGTTGTAGATGTGGCATTCGTTGCTATCAACATTAAGTTACTTCCTTAGGGCCCTCTTTTATATCATTTAATTGGTATCAAGCCAAATGTTGACCTTAAAGGTTTTGCTCTGAGAAGACTGGCTAAAGTACTGCACATCAACATAATTCAGTAATTTGATCATTCATAAAAAGGTTTTTCTTTTGCATTAATCAGAAAATAAATTATCCATACAAGAAAAAAAAAAAATCTAGAATTTAACCAAAGTCCTCCTTTCATTATTGCTGTGCCAATATATGTGTATTTTTGTTGTTTCTGTGTTGAAATTGGACTCACAGCGCATATGCCTGGGGTCAGAATCATCCAGCACCATTTGATGAAGAACACAGGTTTGTATCCAATCATGTCCTCAATATTTAGGTAGAATCTGTCACTTCCTGAAAGAGAACAATATTCTCTGATGTTTCAGCTTGTATCATCAAAATAATTGCATGAGTGATGTGTGTCGACAGCTTATGACTATGAAAACAGTGTAGCAGATATGTTGTGAACAACACCAACTCTGAAACCTCATGTGTTCAAAGCTAAAGGCATCCTATAATGCCTCGTGGCACAATTGTCTAACTGTATTTATTGACAAACTGTCTGTTTAAATCAAACCAATAATTAAGCAAAACAGGCCTATATTTTTCTTTCTCTACATCTTCAGTAAAGGTATCAGATGTGCACAGCCCTCAAAAACACTGGACAAAAGAAAAACAACATGACTATCAGTTATCTAATTTGTCTTTCTCAACATCTAAAAAAAGTACAGTAATCTTATGCCTTGAAAAACAGGGGGCTATCTGCATTGCAGACCATTCTCCAGCAGAGGGCAGAAAAGAAATATAATTCCATCTAAAAGGATATAGGCATAGTAAATGCCAAATACAAGGATTGTGCTGTTGTATATCACCTGAACTCAAAAGTGGGACAACTGTTCAGTTGTTAAAACACACAGTATTTCATATATGCAGATTGAACAGTCTAAAATCTACTTTTACATTTCAATGTAAGAGTGCATCTACAATGAAAATCTTACCGTACACCCAGCCAATACATATTGACTCAAATATGGCCACAAACAGCAAACACATCCCACTGGCTGCATAGGAGTCAAAAAGCTGGAAGACGTACATCCCACCCTGATGGAACAACACAGGTGTCAGTCCTCTGTAACAGACAAGCGCTGTGTGGCTGACAGGTTTTATGTGAAACACAGTAGTAAACGAACACCCACTCATAAACAATACTGGTATTTGAATAACTCTATCTACAATAAAGATTATAACAGGCTGTCTGGCTGTTCAGATTATCGGTATTTATTGAAATATCAATGCATACTATATAGTTTCTCATAATTGCTCTTTGACCTTAAACTTAAGACGTTTTTTGAAACGTCATTTGAAACGTAATATGACTGTGACGCACCAAAATATTTGTGAAATGTTCAGTCGTTAAACTGACAGAAGGCCAGGGTTATCAAAAATTGCATGTCCATGTTTTAGCAAATGTTTAACACTACCTGTTCAAGACCTGTTCAACCATGAATATTCAAACTGTAAAACGTTTTGTTTTTTAAACTGCTTCTCTAGCAGCTAAAAGAGACAATATATTTAGAGTGGACAAAATAGTGGGAGTAAACCCAAAGGTCAAACCACTGGAAACTGCAATTCTATTACAGACAAAACACAGAGAGATAAAATGCTTAAATATTGTATTAAGTTCTTTGCCAGTGTTTCATGGTCGTTACAGACACTGGAGTACCCAGTGTTTAGCTAAGTGTGGGGGTGGATGTACTACTACACATGAACTCTTCATGAAAAGCTTTTAGTCCATTTGAGGAAGTAGGCTTTCTCCTACTGGTGCAAAGTATGGATGAACAGTCTAAAAAACAGGGCAGGGTAGCTTCTGTTGGTCTTAGATACAAACGGTCTGGACCACAAACACAGTATGACCTTATAATGGTGCAAAATGTATAACATATTGTAATTCAGTTAAAATTTAGGTTGTTTACATGTGCACAATATTATGTATTTTGTTGTAGAATACTACATGTGGGTTATGTAATAACATTTTACCTCCATGCACATGATGAGTCCTATGAGAAAGGAGACTATAGACATGCCAAGAATCAGCAGCTCTCTACGGTAGCCTCTTCTGAAGGTCTCTGGGTACATGTCAACCACAGCAGTCACTAAACTCTCCACACAGACAAACTGAGTAAGAAAAATAGCACCAGAAAGAAAAGAGGGAGAGATTATAAAGTGCATGAGAATACAGTATTGCGATATTATAAATGATAAAAGAAGTTGGTCAAATGGCATTCTGCAGACAAGTTGTGCCTCAAACCAATGATACAGGAGTGCAACAACAGAAAATAGAGCTCATTTCCTGACTGTGGAGGCTGAGAAAAAAAAAGAATAAAGCCACATTTACTCAAGTCTAATACATGTGTCGATCATTTTCACACCAATGCCACTAACCTGACTGTCCAGGCCGAGGAAGATCAGCATCATGAAAAAGAGACAGGCCCAAAGTGGAGATAGCGGCATCATGGTCACTGCCTTGGGGTATGCAATGAATGCAAGACCAGGGCCTGCATGACATACACATTAACGTCATTCACTAGGATTTTTTATATAAGAAATAATTAATCTAAATAACATAAACAGGGGGTCCACAGAGAAAAGCAATGGTGTTTTGGCTATCTGTGGAAGTCTTTTTGTAAGATACAGCCACGACAACACTATTATTTTTCTGCATTTGCTCCTTTAGAGACATTTTAACAAATGACAGATTTGTCCAGTATGTATTTTTCTTTCTAAAACAAAGCCAATGGAAAAGAAACTTACTTTGATAGTAGTTGACAACAATTAACATCAAATGTTGCAGTCTCAGAAATGTTAAGACTTTATTATGATGCTGTGCTGTAGTTATCCGGGCAGAAGATTATGCCTGGATTGAAAGTGGGCTGTAATATATCCATAATAATTATACCAGCATGTGTTACTGTATTAAGAAAAGACTAAGTTCACACTACCAAACCGAAAACTATCAGAAACTAAAGAAGAGTTCTGGCCTAAAGACTAACATCTCAAACCTCTGCCTCTCAATCCATTTAAATCACCAAAAATGCAATGGTTTAAGAGCCTGGACGGATGGTGCTGTGTTTGATCAATGGTAAAGTTGTTCAATATTTCCACAACTGAGAATTGGAGTGCAAACAGGTCTCTGGTCTGCAGCATTGGCAGCCTATAGGGTATTTTTGCCATGTTAAGTTGTTTTTTGCATTTCATTTTCTTACCTGATTCTGCCACGGCTTCAATAGGAACATTTTGTTCATAGGCCATGAAGCCCAGGACAGAGAAAATGGCAAAACCTGCCACAAAGCTGGTACCGCTGTTCAAACAGCACAGCATGAGGCAGTCTCTGATCAATGAAAAGAAAGAGATTACAGCTGTCGTTTGAACTGCCATTGGACTTGACACGAGAAGGTAGACAGAAAGACACTCTGTAATGTTGAGTGAAAAAGAAATCAATTTAAACTATCCTTTTTAATAACTTTCCTAATCAAAGTCCGTGGTCTACCTATATTCTTCTGCCTCTAATACAGACCAAAAACAGTCAAATAAAAGGTTTGTCTTTATCTTGTTTTGCTCATTGGCGACTTTCCTCATGGTGTAGCATGTAGATCCTTACCTGTAGCAGTTATTGTCATAGGCATTGTAACTTCCAAGAGCTGTGAGACAACCCAAGCAGATGGCATAGGAGAAGAAGATTTGGGTTCCTGCATCCACCCATACCTATTATATAAATGAGTTGTTAAGACACGGCATATATAAAGAAGGCACTGTCCAGTTCCTCACTTGTTGCAAAACGACAGTTCTGCGAAAATCTGTCCAGTTGATAAAACCCTTAGGTTACATACACATGCCAACAAGTTCTTTTTACTGATACTGGTACCAATTTCACTTTTTGTAGGCAGACCAACATTCAATGCTAATTTCTATTCCAGCTTTTCCAGTAAAAAATATCTGTTTGAAAATACCGATGAATCTTATTGAAGTTTCTATTTGTATGTATGTGTTTAAGTTCATTTGTAGAAATAACTCACTCAAGAGAGTATAGGTTGGTTTTCATAATGTTTAACAAGCCTAAAACTGTACCTTGTTTCGTTTTTATGCTTTTGGAACACATGCAAATATATCTTTGATTAACAAACATATGAGTTATCAATCAAAGAAGCAGGTCCAAATGAGGAGCCATATTAGGAGGCTAGTTTTTTTTTTATCAAGAAGATTAATTTAAATGCTTTAAGTTATTCATACTTTATATATAGATAGAATTATATCTTGAGAGAGAGCTTTACATAACAAATATTGTCTCGGAAATGTTAAAAAAACAAACCTTCTCCTGTAGACTGGGTTGGAACATGCCCATTGCATACACATTTGCAGTGCAAACTTTCTGGAACTTCATCTCTCTCAACATGTCACATTCAACATCCCGCTCATATTTTAATTATACTACTATAAAAGCTTTTCATTTTTCATCATACAAAAAAAAAATCTTTGTGTCATTCTTTTGTCATTAATTAAACCACAGAATTAACATGAATATAACATGCTTTTCCATTTTCAAGAGATTATAATGATGATATTATAGAAACCAATTTAATCTTCCTAATGAAATCTCACATCCATCCATTGTCACCCCATCATTCAGCTTTTTACCAGTGACTGTGATGAAGTAATGGCTTCGCTCAACTGTCTTCTTTTCCTTCTAAGAGGTGTAAAGTGCACTCACATGAATCATGGAAAGTCCTAAAAGCAGCTACAGAGTCTTTCAGTGCCTAAATGTTCACGATGCGCTTCACCAACTCCCTTCCCTTATACCGTTTGGTGGGGTTTTAAAGTGGAAAGCAAAGATGAAAGTTGAAGCATTCTGTGCATTAAATCTGTCTCACTCAACTTGATCGATGGGCAAATTAATCAAATTTAGAAATGTTATTTTTCTAAAGATTTGCACAAGTTTGCAAAATTAACATTTTATTAAGAGTATTTCTTCTATTGAAAGGCAGTAAACAAAATCAGGCCCTGCCATGGACTGGCTGATTGTCCAGGGTGTGCCCCGCCTCTCACCCATTGACCACTGGGATAGGCTCCAGTTCTCCCCGTGACCCCATTAGGGAAGAAGCGGTAACGATAATTGATGGATGGATGGATGGATAAACAAAATCGATTATATTTGGTGGGTTCCTTTGACATGATACTATCCAACCCTGTCAGTTGGTGTGGATTTATCAGTGGCAGTGTCGAAAATCTTGGCCCCAATAGAAACAAAGTAAAACTTAAAACATGTTTTAATCATACAATTACTTGAAATAAACCCTCTCTCTTCAATGAAAGTAAACTTTTAACTAAATGTCTCTGTTTACAATGCCAAAAAATTGTTTCACATCTGAGCCTGTGTGCGTTCTATGACCTGACTGGAATCCATCTATTGATGACTGAAAAGGGACACGCCTCTGATCAAAGACTTGAGTAAGATCTGAGTTAAAAGAAAAACAAGGTCAAGAGCACCTTTCTGGAGATTAAAAACAAACTTATAGATGGACACCATCTGAACAGCACTAATCAGGTGCTGATCAAGCTCTGTGGTTGTGTGATCAACTTCCTACTAAAAAGCAAATATATTCAACAGGCAATTCGCCAGGACATAAAAGACTCAGTCAAATATCTGATCAGCCAACGATTGAAGGGCAACAACTGAAATGCTTGACAGTGATTTGCAGCAGTATGGTGTGAACACTTTAAGAGGTTTAGTTAAAAAAAAAACATTTCCTTATCACTGCAAATCTGCTTATTTCAGTTATTCAGTTTCAAAAACTGTATTGTGAAAGTAGTTTGTAGAGCAACATTGGACCCCAGGACCCACAGGATCGCATGGGGTGTTAGCGAATTCAAACTTAATGCAGCATGGCTCTTTGAAAACTCTCTCACATCGCCATTCAGGCACTAATCTCATTTCCCCACCGAAAAACAATTAACAAACGCAAGGTCTTCGCTCCCTCCTGAGAGTAACCACGGTAACTTCTGTGACCTCACAAACACAGGACTGTTCCTGTGGAAGAACAGGGCTTTCTCTCCTAATGTTCATTAATGTTCCCTTTACTTCACTCTCGCCTGATGGCTGCACAGTGCAAGGAAACCTTAAAGGCCCAGGCTCAGAGAGAATAACTTGTTGATGTTGTGCCTAATTTGGCGGCCTTGTGTTTGGTTATGTTGAGACTGCGGCTCCTGGAAACGTTTTTATTGCGTGAAAGCTGGATGACACTGGGGGTGAGATAGTGTTCTTGTAATGTAAATGTACTACTCACAGTGCTCCTCACACTCTCGTGTTTTTTTATGAATGAAATCCATAGGGTTTGGATTTACATGAGAACATTCCCCACTAAGACATTTGGCTGAGGTGAATCAAGTTAGACCACACTACCCACAATGCTTTAGAGCCCCACATCACTGATAGTAAGTTTGTCATCACAAAATGCCATATCAAAACAATTGACCTAGTCAAACAAGTCTCAGCTTTACTAACCTGCATTCATCTTAAAACAATCTTTTTAGCGCTGTGCTAATCACAAACAATGGCAAGCAAGATGCTCAAAGTTTAGACAAATTATCTTTAAGTGATTCACCAATAATCAACAACAGGGCTGTCAGCTAATTTCTTCTCTGAATATTTAGACTTGCATCAGCAAGGAGAGCAAGTGATGCTGCAAAGTAAGGAGTTCCCAAATATCATTACAGAGCCGTTTCAGGAGGTGCTGTAAAGAATTAAACATAGGAGGACCGATCAATGCAGTGGGCAACATTGCAACAATTAAGTTTGGGAAAAGGATTGTGTGCAGATTGCCTTTATGGATGAACATGTAACATGCTCCAACTAATCCAACAAATAAACTGATCAAGAAGGCGGGTGATGTTGTAGGGGAGGAGCTGGACACTCTGTCGACCGTGGCAGAGAGGAGGATGCTGTCCAGGCTTAAGTCCATCATGGACAATGTGTCTCACCCCCTCTACGACACACTGGCCCAACAGAGGAGCTGGTCATCAATCTGTACAACGCTTCCCTCTGAGAGTCAATCTTAATCATTGACACTATCCACCTCTCATTTTGACCTACATATACACATATTGTTTCTTATGTATATATCTAGCTATATTTATGAGGAATTTTGTATATATATATGTATATATGTATAGACATGTACATATGTATATGCCTTTGTTTTATTTTGCTTATGGAGCCTGTAACAAAAATAATTTCCCTCTGGGATTATTAAAGTATTTCTGATTCTGATTCTGATTCCGAACTGCTGTTAACCAAAATTCAGTCATCGTAATTAACTGCAAAACTACATACAATGAAAGGCTGTGATACACTTTTAGATTACATGACAATGCAAACGCATGATGGAGCTGTTAGTGACTAGTCAGTGAGCACAAATTCTTACAACAATTAGCATCAAATTATTTCATTTGAGAGCATAAACCTACTCTGTGCTATCAGTTTAGACTTTCCCTTAAAGAGGATGATTTATTTTTGTACGTTTGTCAAAATAGTTGATCTGTTACTCATCGTCAGAGTTAAGGGATTAAACTACACTGACTAGTTTAGCTAAAGCTGTGAATTTGACACTGTATGGCAAGTGTCTTTTTGTTCCTCACTGTCAGTGTTGGTCCAAGATAAAAACACTTAAAAACACCGGAACCTGATTGATTAGGAGCAGCTTATGTGGAAATTCTGAAATTTTAATAAAATCAAATCAAAGGCTGTATGTAATAACATGCTAATTAAACTAAATCTAAAGACTGTGGTATGTGCGTTCCTCGGTGATTTCCTCTGGATTTTTGCGGACAATATCAAGCAATATTGTAAAGTATTAATATTACTGTTTCCATAAGGGCAGAGGGATAAAGGAAGACAGTGATGGAATTAGAAATGTTAACAAGCAAGCGCACAATTCTTGTTATAGTGAATAGGGGAAGTGTGGAGAGGAGGTGTGATGCACAGATGAGGGTGAGGAGGAGTAAGGCAGACAGAAAAAAGAAAGGTGAAGGAAAGAAAAGACTGGATAAAGCAGGATGAGGTACAGGGCTATAAAAAGAGAGGACAACACCCATCCACACAGGCTGATGAACAGAACAGAGCCCTGATTATCCCAGAAGGGGGTAATTTAACACTGGTGTCAGAGGTAATGTTCTCTACCAAACAGCAGCCTTTCTCTATCACCCGTCCCTCTCTTCATGTGCCACTGTTTGTTTCTTTAGTTACTCTGTCCCTCTTTTCTTCACTCCCCATCTCTCTGCATAGCTGTTTCTATTTCCTTAACAAATTCACATACGCTGCTGGACAGTTGGACAGAATTAATTTTGAATATGACATTATTTCCACAGCACATTATAGCAATCAAACCAAGCCTCAGCAGGAAATTTATTTTACAAAAGAAATAAAAAACCTCACATAGACTCTCTCCCCGCGACCCCATCAGGGAATAAGCGGTATTGATAATGGATGGATGGATGGACATAGACTCTCTGAAACATCTCCCATGACACTATGTATCATGTGATTGTCTGCACAGACATCTTCACTTCCTGCTTAAGACATTTGTATATTTGTTATGTTTGCCTGCATTTTTTAATCCATCAATAAAACTAAATACAAGGAGCCATATTTATATGTAGAGTTCCACGTATATTTAGAGGGATTTAAAACTTTGTTTAGGGTTATGTAAACAGGAAATGCTTGGCTTTCGTTGTGTTGGTTAATGCTAAAATGATTGAAAATGCATTGTATGAACATAAGCTCTCACATGGGATATTCAAAGTAAACTTGATGGAACGTTGGTTTAAAGCCTATAGAAACAAAAAAAATTACTTTTCAGCTTTATAATGTCAACCTTCTTTATGTGTTTCCAGTGTAAAGTGTGACTAAATCAAAATGCAACTTCCAGTCTAGGATTGCAGCATTAACTGAGAATATTCTTAACACTCTTTTTCTGGCAATGAGTCATAAGAAACAGACTTTCTTATCTGAGAGAAGACTTGCAGATAAACTGAATGGCTAGATAATTATGAGGCAGTACAGCTTTCTTATTATCATTTTCATGCCATCCAATGATGTAGACCAGCTATCACCATGAAGAGTGGAGAACAGATGTTTCGATACGACAGAAGTATGAAATAGAGGACGTTAAGGAAGCTTAAAGTTATCTGAAACACCATAATACTGTAATTCAACCTGTTCTTACTCCTAGCATCCCATATGGAGACTCGTGGGTGCATAAAAAGCGTTATTTTGTAGGACAGTCTAATAGATTCCTAAGTGTCTGAAATCTTTCCAACACAACGTAAACCTCCATGCCAAATCTCCTGATCTCGTCTCTGTTTTCAGATAAGTCCCAGTTCATGTTGTCATGAGCCTCATCCTCTGACATTTCCTCGATACTGTGTTGCCTGGCAACCCAAGCTGTCTGCCTTTTCCAAACAAGGTCAAGGGGTCTGCTGTGTGTCTGTGGGCCTGTATCTGTCTGTAAATTGCATTTTAATGTGCCACCTCTATTAGCCCCAAATTGGGATGTTTTAACCCAGCAGGGTCTTAAAGCTCACTTTCTGTTTGACCCCTGATCCGCCCATCACCAGCAGGAAGAGTCAGCCCATATTAAGTAATATTATCACACTGCCGATGGAGCGTGAAGTATCAATCTAGTCAATGGTCTCTAGCTCCATGTTAAATCAGGTATGACTGAACATGGATGAAAAAGACTTACTCCACAAATCACACTCTTTTTGTACTAATCTGCTGCAACTTTCATGGATATAAAAAAAAGAATGGAATGAATAATATATCAACAGAAGGTGGCTCAGTTTTCCTTTTGCAAATACTGTAACTACAATACCACCTGTCCATCTGGCAGCTACTCAGTCCAGAACAGATGGGTATGAGATGGGGTATAAATTCATATCCACCAGACTGTTGTTTTAGCTTTCCCGCATTACTTTGACATCTTCTACCTCTCATAGAAAACCTAATAACAAACGTTCACAATTTGACTGACTATGGTGGAAAAGATCTATACCATCTGTAGGGTTTTTGTTTGATCTAATATATACAGGATGTAGAATGAGAATGGAACTCTTACTAATATTTCACCATGTATCTTAAATGTTACCTCAATATTCTGGGTTACTTTCGAACTAGACTGAATCCAGACGTGCCACCAACATATATCAGTGGCACAGACAAGTAAAATTGAAGCGGCCACAGCCACCTATTAAAATAAGTAAGAGGAGTTAAAAGAGCTGGACTGTTTTGGGGGTTTGCTCTTGTTGCCAGATTAGCTACTGTTCTGCCAGCAGAAAACAAATACAGATGGTCCAAGCCTACCTGAGGATCGGAGAGGCGAGAAATGTCTGGGTAGAGGTAGAACCTGATGCCGTCAAAAGCTCCAGGCAGCGTGACTCCTCTGACCAGAAGGACCAACAGCATAACGTAAGGAAAGGTGGCTGTTACATAAACAACCTGCAAGTACAGACATGGAGATGGTTTATGTAAACCAGACCACAGAACATCATAAAAAAAGTACAAAGCAGGTCAATGTTAGTGCCACTCTGGTTTATTTACAGAGCCAGACATTTGGAACAAAAATGAATTAAACCAACAAACATTTTTCCTTAGTAACAGATAGACCAACACTAACATATTGGAAAGGAGCTACCAGGAGTGTTGTCATCTCCCCTTGGATGATGAAGAGATAATTGTGTTCAGTCTGTGCAACTGCTTAGAGGGATCCTAGGTGCTGTCCTATCAGCAGGTAAAGATGCTTAACTGTTCTTAACTGTTCTTCGTGAAAATATTTTGTTCTCTTAGGATATTAACATAACCTGACATGAAAAATTCACAGGAAGTAAGTCATATTTTGTGAGCAGAAGTTGGACAAATGCCTTGCTGCATCACTAATTCTTCATGCATCCCTTCCGGAATGAAATGATGACAAGTTGTAATACGAACACTTAGCAGCACCTACATGTACATAGTTGCAAGCACTCAGTTAACCATCACAACACTTCTTCATTGTTTTTTAACCATTCGTGTCTTGCAGAACTGTGCTCAACATCTCAAGACTCCTTGAACAAAGACTGTGGCCTCTTGGAAGGCAGAGGCGGGCAACATACATCCCCTGGCTTTCTGGCACTCAGTCAAAGTCCAATTGAGGACAGAACAGAGCTGGGCCAGGAGCCTAAAGAGAAAAGAGGGCTCCTCTGGCCCCCGGCTCTTTAACAGGAGAAGCCGAAAGGAGTGATGCTGGCAGTGTGGGAAAATGTGCTACTCTTTGAAGCACGTACAAAAGTGTACGAGTGCGCATACACAACTGGACACACACAACTTCACTCCGAACATAAAAGTGAGGGAGCCTACATTGCAAATACACACACAGAGCAGTTACTGTAAATGCAGGTTACATTTCTGTACTACTGCGTGCAGCATTTTCATGAATGGCTACTGATTTTGTGTTCAGAGAACCTCATCCAACTCCACAGAGGTTCATTCCTTTTTAGCAGCATGGAGCTGTGTGAATTTCATTCAGAAAATCAGCTTGACTGACTATCAGAGGCTTCTTAAATTCTAAAAACACGATGTAAAACCTTTTGAATAAATTCAATCCTATTCTTGTTTTAACTGTATGCATCTAAGTGGGTGTCCTCAATAAGTACTATTATTTGCTACAAAGGGATGCATAAAGACTGTGGGAAAACTTGTCCTCTGCCCGGCAAATTCAACCTTTAATTTGTCAAATGAAACGATTACACGTCCTAAACCTTCTTCTTCCTCCTCTTTTTTTCTCTTTTGAGTTGAAAAGAACAATTTTCAATCTCTCCATGAACTTTTGATGCTCCACATGCTCCTTTCCACTCACCATGGGTAACATCTAAGCCTCTGCAAATTTTCTGGTCAAACTTGCCCCTGCCTCACCGTAAATCTAACAGGAGGGCTTAAATGTGAGAATGGCTGACAAACCATGCCAACAAAAGCAAACAGCTTAGTAGGGTCGGAACTGAATGAGCTGTAGAGTTTGTAGAAAAGAAAGCATCTCTCTCTCTCTCTCTCACAACAATCAAGCTGTGGTTAATTTCTCATAGCAGGAGAGAGATAGAGAGGCAGCAGGGGTGGAGGCTTGGGATACACTCTGCATGCTCCTCATGAACGCTTCCTTTCCGCCAATGAATACAGGAATCAATCTTGGACTGGCTGCTAAAGCCCAGCAATGAAGAAGTATTCTTCCCTCTTACTTCACAGCCAAACAAAAAGCACTTCAAGGAGATATAGGCATTGCCGCCCAGTTTTTTTCCTCATCATGTAGAATGTGGGCCCATTAATTTTTCCTCATTCAATTCTCCTCTTTGCTCTCTTTTGCTTGACTATCTTTTGCTTTCTTCTCTTTCTGGCTCACTGAACCCTTAAGGAGGTTTTTGAGGCTGCTAAGCAGCCAAAAGAAGGTGCACAGTCCTTATTGTCTGCAAGACTGCAAAAGGAGATTTGAGGAAGGAATTCAAATAGAAAGTGTGACTGGGGAAAGAGGAACATAGGTGGTGCAGACATCTCTTTTGTTTTGTGTTTGTATTTGAGAATTCATGTGCCTTCATGTGAGAGTTAATTTGAGGACCAGGAAAGAGAATTACCTGTTAGTTGTTACAATACATAAAACGGAAGCTAAACTTGATCCTGCACACTTTTCTGCATTCAGATGAAACCGTGCTTAAGGATGCGAAACATGAATTACAGTATTACCTTGCCAGTTGACTTTGGTCCTTTCCAGATACAGAAGTAGCAGATGAACCAGGCCAAAGCCAGACACATGGCCAGCTCCCAGCGCATCCCCCCCATGTGCTCAATGCCGTCCGATATCTTCAGCACTCTGCGTCTGATTTGACCAACAGAACATACTGAGTTTTGTTTTCATTTTTGAGAGTTCGAGTTTTAAACACTGAAATTGGAGATACTTGTTCATAAATGTGAACCCATTAGGTGCAGCTACCACAGACTGCCTAAGATCAGTCTCCAGGAATTTAGCTGCACTAAATAAGGCACAACACTGAGGCAGGATGATGAAAAATAAATATGTGCGTGCAGTTACTCAGTTTAAATATTAATGTAAAAATCTTTTTCCAGTCAGCCACATTCCTAGTATCGGTTAGGAAATTTCCAATATTTCGTCAGTGTACATTTACATCCCTCTGTTTGCATTGCTCAGTTTTAAACATACTACAGTTTCATGGTATCATTTCATGGAAACAACGGAATTGAATTTGTAACTTTGTAACTTTCACTCTCTTTTGGCCAAACCTTCATCCACCAACATTACTGGTCACCTCTGAATGTAAAGACATGCATAGACCTGGAAACTCTTAAAAATGATCCCAATAGTATGATGTTTTCAAAGATGATGCACTTAACTTAATCAAGCCCAGTAATAACAACATCTAGACACATCTAGTTTTGATGTGAATTAAGTTGTAATGGATATGAGTCACGTTTTTTGTAAGAACAACATCATATCTTGCAGGTTGTGGTGTTTTTTTTTTTGCTAAAGCAAACCCAGGCAACAGGATGGATGGAGGATGAGAAGCAGGACACTGAGCCACAGAGCCATCTGGCAGGACCAAATCTTTGCTACCGAGTTCACCCCCGGGGCTCCTGACCAACCATTGATCATCGTGACATGTTCTTGGTGCATGGCCACAGGCTTGGTCCAACATGGCACCCTCTCACTTTCTGGTCATACTAAAGGGCACGTTGTGTATTTAGATATGCATGTGTAGATTCTCATATTCATGTTTGATTTATTTTTATTTTTAAAAGACTGATTGGACTTACATGCATAATGATTTACGGTCAAAGTGATTCTTACAACAAGTCTCTAAGTTACACGATAACATGTAGTTTTAAAAGATTCAGAAAGGCCAAACAGATATGGGCAGTTATCGCTCACCTGAATGATCACATGCATATTCCTAAAATTAGGTTCTTAAAATTACTGCACGCTTTATTCTCTGTGTTTTTAAAACTTTTGGTAAAATCAAAATTATTTCAAAAGGTGCTTGCTGCTATGCTTCTCTATTTGTAATGACAGAAATCTATGGTATTAAAAAAGACTGATACGTGCTTGCATAATAAACTTGCAACCACAAAAATGTATTTAAAATTGTTTAATTTATATAGCTACACTGGTTTTTGCATATGCTGTATATTTAGAGTCCAGACAATTTTGTCAAGGCTTTAACAAAGCTTGGTCACATTTGATTGTTGCCAACATCATGCTTCTTGGTTCTTTTGCCTAATTTCATCTAAGGTTAGGTTTATATTGATGCTTCTAATCTGATGCTGTCAAGGTAGTGAATTCTCAAAAATATAACAGTAAATTCCCTCATTTAGATAGGCATTCTTTAAAAAGTCCATAAGTGTGTCGTTAAACGAGATCTGACCCAACAGTGTAAACACAGCTACTGGCAGCAAGACAGGAAGTGTGGTCAGCATTACACACTGACGAGGCCTGATCTGCTGCCACACACATGGTGAGCTGGAAGACAGTTGGCCCACCATGACTAACTGGCACAAATATGAAAAGGGCTTACTAATTATTGGGGGTAAGGTTAGCAGAGGCGTGCTGTCAGTAACTCAACGAATTGGCAGTTAAGAGGATGTTCAGACATGAGGTGTCAAGGACTTCTCCTGACAAAACATGTTAGTATAATGTGTTATTTCAAACTCTATTCACAAATTTTAATACAATTATTATTGTAGACGTTTTTATTACGTCACTTTGTATAATCTGACACGAGGAACATAAGCATCCAATGAAAATAAAATAAAGAATACTCACTCCCAGAATTCGATGACTGGAGAAGTTGCGTTGGGGTTTGTGATGTTCGTGGCATTTTCTCCATAATAATCAACACAGTTTTCTGTAAATACACAGATATCAATTATATTGTTTTCTTTCTTTTTGGGATCAAGTAATGATGTAGCTGTTCGCAACAATATCGGGCAAATATTGTTTGTTTTTTTCTTTGACTTGTACAGGCAAAGTTGTTGTTATTAGAAGAACTTTACCTCTTATCGAGTCTTTGTTCCTTCCTCCTACCTGTATTCCAGTAGTGCCCACAGCCAGCCCACGGCAACTCAGTGGTGAAGCAGTTGAACAGATAAAATATGGCCCATGAAAGGATGACAATATAATACACGTTTAGATGAGCTTCAATCACCTGCGTTGCATAGCCAATTCCTGAAAAGGACAAGATTAAAGATGAAACACAAGTTAAACAACAGCAGACAATATCACTGTCCACAGCTACACCACAAAGGTATGAGCTAGTGCTTTACAATTACCAAAGAAAAACAAATTCTCTGTATTTCACGTATATTTTCGAGAGGATGTATTTATTTCCTACTTTCACTTTGATTATCAAAATACGGTGCAGAACGTAAGAGAAAATGGCCAAATATACCAAAGTAAGCTCTTTCTCACCCTCAAAGAGTGGGCAGACTTTCCTCCAGCAGGTGATGCCTCCCTCGCTGGTAAACTGACCCAAAGCCGTCTCCAGGAAAAACACAGGGATACCGCAGCACACGAAGAAGATGACATACGGAACAAAAAATGCCCCTTTGTACATACAGACAAAGAAATACAACTGTCATTATGCACAAACAACACACATACCACACAGGTGACATGACAACAGGTCAAACCTAATTCCCATAGTGTACTCGAATACAAGTCAAGTGAAGAGTTTAATAACAGAAGTAACTTGAAAAACTCAGAAAATTGTCATTATAATACCATGCTCCCACTGCAGAATCACCTCACTTCAAATTCCGTGGCAGATCCACATTGTACAGTGTGATGGGCGAGTTTTTTTGGTTTATGTGCATAACTTATATCTCTTCTCAGGTAAGCCATGTTTGTTTCTGATCCAGTCTGGACAGATCCATTCTTCATCGATCTGTCCAATTTCTCCCATGCTAACTCAACGTATACAAAAAAAGCCTCCCTGTGACATTAGTTTTTTTCCCCCATCATTGTTTCAGTTGTAAAATAAACCTTGCCTCCTCCATTCTTGTAGCAGAGGTAAGGAAACCTCCAGACGTTGCCCAGTCCGATGATCTCTCCAGCCACAGACAGGAAAAACTCAATCTTGTTGTTCCAGTGGCCCCTTTCATTGTACTCCCCATTGTCAAGGCTTGAGCTAGACCCTTCTCTGCCATCTTCTGGTTTACCGTTTATAACCGGCCCACTCTTCTCAGCTGTCATGATGCTGGAGCAGCCTGCTGAGAGGGAATAAACAAGGGAACCAAAGGTGACTTCAAACCTTAAACAAGATTCAGCTGATGTCTTGCATTTTTCTTGGACTATGTGTGACTGAATATCTGTAAGAAAAAAAATAGCAAAATCACTCTGACTTGATAGAGTGAAGTTTTATGCATGTGACGGTTCAAGCAGTCTTCTTAATCCTCATCATTACATGTCTGAGTGTTTTTATCACAAATGCTATTACAGAAAGTAGTGACATACCTAATTAGTTCAAAGGAATTTTAAAAAAATGAATATAATAAAAACAGAAGTGTAAATAACAAATCGATTCTATATTCCAATGCTTTAAAGTAACACTACTCTTAGTCTGCCTGTAAAGCTGACAAAGTTTATTAAAAAGTGTTTACAATCAACGAACTTAACCTAACTAACTATGTTTCATCGTCAAAAGTTCATGACTGTTGCGCTTCGGTGTGAAACTGAGTTTACATCGCAAAATAAATCAAACTCACTCTACTCACCAGTGTCCTATGAAAAAGTGGCAAACCTCCTTTTGGCTCCCGCAATGATGCGCACTAACAATCACCTTTACAAAAACGCAGAGTTAAGCCTGATCCCGGGGGCGAAGAGAAGAGAGGGGGCACAAAAGAGAAAGAAAAAAAAACAATCTGCACCCACGAACGAGTGAGAAGGATTCTGTTGCTTGCACGTCTCTATAAAAGAATGATCCCGACGGCTGAGTGACGCTACAGGGCTTGCACCAGGCGATGGATAACCTTCGACTGCACTCCCACTCTGCGAGCGATCTACTCCCAAGCGCCTCCACTTGGATAAAAGCCATTTGGTAATCAGTGTGGCTCTCATCCCAGTTACCACGGCACACAGAGAACAGGGTGGCGAGGCACGATGGACAAAACATGGGTGGAAAAGATGACGGCAGCTGGTTTATACATAAAAAGCAGGAATATTTCTTTTTCACTATAATTCATGTTTAGAATTTTTTTGTTAATTCAAATCAGGGATGAATTTGTGTCTCCCCCTAGAAAATAAACTGTCAATCTAATTATTAGACAGCAAACTTCCATTCTACAGGAGGGTTTTTACCTCAAATCTACTGGCAACACTAGAGGCGCCTACAAGCAGACATGATAATAATCAATACAAAACATCTTGAGCTACCAAATGAGTTTATGTTGATCAGATTCCTTACCAAAGCAATAATAAGCACATTTTTCACTGGTTATACGCTAAGGCATCAAATATTAATGGAAGGGAGTCTCCGTTTGGGATGTGATATTAAGAGAAAGTATGTGTTAGGACATTACGTATTCAAAGTGTCACACTTTTATCACAGTGTCACGCTGAAAAAAGGTGAAAAGTATTTTACACTGATTACTGTCCCTTGGACATCAAATGTAATCGTCACTTGATATCAGTTCACTTTAGACTTTTAACTTTTTATCAAATAATAACGACCAATTTCTTCTGATTGTTTTATTTTCACATAGACCACTGTTGTTACATTTAAAAATACGGTTATGTGGGGAGTCACCCACTAATCTTCAAGGAAGCAGTGACCCCATTTGATTTATAGATTGATGTGAACAGTCTGGTTTCCTTTATCATTATTCTCAGCATACCAGCTCACTCCTCTTTGTCCCCTCAAGAAGTCATTCTGTACCAAATCTAAATGGCTTTTCCCAGTTACAAAATAACATTGGAATGATGTTGTCAGCAGCTAATGATGAATGATGTGCCTGTCATGATGTCTTTCTAACCCATGCTGGTTGGAAAACAGCTGTTTTCCTATGGGCTAAAAAAGTGTGATTTCAGTGTTTGTTAATACACAAGTTGCCTGGTTTCCAGGCGTGATAGACGGGTGCACTAGGAACTCCCCTGACTCTAAAAGGGTGACCTAGTCTCTAAGAGTCCCTTCACGCAAGGGTCACTTGTCATTAGAAGCTTTAAGGAAGTGCCCTGCATAAAAAGCACGGCCACCCAAAGTGGCTGGCAAGAACTCACTGTGCTTTTCAGGCAGAGTCAAGTTTTTTTTCTAAGTCGTGCCTCACAACATCATCAGAAGGGGAATCAAACTACACAAAAAATAAAAGAAACGTGTTTACGTACAAGGATGACAGTTATGTGGTAGTTAAGAAGTGTCAGGTTAAATGCTTGGTTGATATTCAAGTTCACAAAGTAGACCCTAATATTCTCTAAGGGTTTTTCATAGACAAGATAATCAGGCTTTTATCAGGTCGTTCAACTCAATCGTTATCCCTCTAGCCTGCTGACTCTAAAACCAGCAAGAAGCTGCGATCGACTGTTTGTCTGACTCCTGAGGGACCACAACTTTGTTGTTTGATTGTTTTTTAGAGCCAGGAGCAACAGTCATTTCACTGTCAAGTTAGGACAGTGCATAAAACATGTAGCTGGTTCATCTATCTGTCTTTTGCAAATAAAAAACAAAGAGTGTAGTAACACAGTGGACTGAATTTGGCAGAACCCCCCCAGTCAACTGGGTTGAATGGATGTGTAAAAGGAAAAAGAGAGCAGTAGAGAGAGCATGCTCATAACATACTGAGCATCATTCTGTAGGAGAAAATGGAAAGGAATGCCTCGCAAATTTAGCATATGCTGTCGTTTATAATTGAACTCAGTCAAAGAACAAATCCAAACTGACTGACAAAAAAAGTCAGAACTTTGGCCAAATCTGGTATTTAGCTAGCTGCAATGCCAACCTTCCACAAAGTGTATAAGCCTTCACGTCAATACAGACACAACCCCTCATCTTCATATCAACAGCAATTTGTTTGAGCAATTCAACAAAATGCCCCCAGAACATTTCAACATGGGTCACTTCACTGAGAGGGCTTTGGATTGCATTGATGCACAATTTTCAGTAACAACAAAAGGAAACTGTGGGGGAAAGTAATGGGAAAAGAAGCTAGGGGAAATGGAAGACAAAAAGCCTAATACAACAGATCCTTAACTCAGGTTCAACAAAGTAGCTGCAGCAAATCCACTGCATCTATTCAGTTTGAGTCACTTTTATCCTCCTCCAACAATTGATCTGATCTCCTACAAAGAGTAGTTTGTACTCAACAACAGTAACACAGTAGCTGTACCAGTAACACATAAACATAAACATAAAACAATGGCAGTAATAATTTAGCTTCAGTCATATACACAAGCACACGCGATGCTCTGAGCCACCATTACAGCTCGCTTTTGAGAGTCCAGCAGCTTTTTATGCTTGGCAAGAGGGAAGTGTTGAGCAACTACCAACCAGGCCACCCAGTAGTAAGCAAATCTTACAAGAAACACACCAGTGCCACATGCCAGCAGAATCACTAGGCTGAATATTAAAACTTAAAGGCCAGCATACTTTAATAAAATACAAATTTTGTGACTTCAATAACAATTCTGCAAAGGTACTGACAGGATTTTTGAAAATATTAGTAAACTTACATTTGAGAATGTGGGAATTTCCATCCCTCATTTAATGCAATTGTGGTCCAACGAGTTAAGATATAAGGTGGTTCTCAATCCAGAGAGGTGAGATGTTGTTTAAGATGTTTTAATGTCTATAAGTGATATGAAAAATCAGTCACTTTTCAGGTGTGGCATAGAAGATGCAGGCACAGCTTAGTGTTTGTGGTTTGTCCTGCAGGAAGCAGGAGAGGATCATGTCAGCACCAGCTGAAATGCATGTTCAGTTAAATGGCTTTGAACAGGCTTCCACCGGTCTGATCTCCTTTTACCTTAAAACCTGGGATCTTCTCCATAACTGCATTGTTCTATTGAAGTTACCCCTCTATCTTTTTTTGGTTCATCTCCTTGGTCCCTGTTCTTAAATAGAATCTATTTAGTTTTTTACAAAGCACCAAAACCCAACAGTGTCATCTCAAGGTAAGTCAAAGATACAAGCTTCCATTTCAGCTGTCTGTTTTGAGCAGTGCTTCACTTCTTGTCAATCTCCTGAAAACTTTGTTGTTCGCATTTAACTTCATTCATAAAGTCAGTGGTGATCCTAGGATTCTTATTAGGGGAAAAACATTGCTGTTCTTATGGGAATGTCACTGTCCACACATGTTTACAGATGCACATTTAGTCACATTTTAGCCCACAGAAAGTCTGCAGATGGTGACTCCCTGCATATCTTCTTCATTAGTTTTTCATTGTGGTAACAGGCTTGCATTGAACAATGGATTTTATACTGGGTAAGAGAGACCAGCGTGTTCTGATTTTCCTAATCGAAGATGAGGAGAGAACCTATATGCACCTTTTACATGTGTAAAAAACAAAGGGAAAGGGGAAAAAAGTTTCTTTCTTGCTTCTGCTAGGCATACATAAAGTTTTCTCTTCGCTGCTTCATGCATTTGGAAGATTTTCTCCGACTTTAGTTGGCATCTGGAAAGCTCAGTTGTTTTTTGTTTCTGAATTAATCTTGTGTTGGCAGGTCATCGTAACCAGTCCTAAGAGCTGGAGTTTCACCTCTTATCTGTTCGACTAGATGGTGTATCAGCTTAAACCATCTTATTAAACCATTCCCTTTGTGTTTGTGTTGTTTTTTTTCTCTGGGTTGACAAATCTCTGTCTGAGGGTGTTTTTGAGTTAAAATTGCAAATGGATTTCATGTTTGGAGAAGATCCTTCCTAGTTTCTCTGAGACATCTGGAATTGCAGGGCATTTGTGCGTGTTCTGTTCTTCTTAGCTGCGGATGTACTGTTTGACCCAGATTTTTTTTCTGAATTAGAGGCTTGGTGTTGTGCCTTTGTGTGAGATTTGTGATTTGCATTCCTCTGACTCGGTACAAAGGTTTCCCACAATGGGGACACTGGAAATCCCGTGGCACAGTCATGCTTCTGTCTATTGAGAGAGTCATTATACTGCAGCAGAGGAAAACTTTCCAAGTTCCACCATTTTAATAGAAAAACAAATTTTCACGATTGTTCACAGTACAAACAGTATAACCATATCTATAGTGTGGGACATTTTTTAATAATTGAATAAAGTGACACGTTTCATGAAACCATAAATCTTAAGTCATTTATTACTTACTTCATTGAGAATGTAAAATGTAAGCACATATTGTAATGTACACCAACAAGAGAAAAATGGAGCAAACTCTTTGTTGGACTTAATTATCATGTCTGGGATATTGTATCTGGCAAACCACTGATGGGTCAAATGAGTTTGTTTGCTGGCTAAGACTGGAAATAGCTGGTGAGTTATATAATTGTAATCATTAATGAGTCAGTTGGTAAATTCTATTAACAGATCTGAATTTTAGTTTGAATTGAACTACTTCCACTCAACCTTTCTTATTCTCATCTCATCAAACAACAGCTTAGTACAATTCAAACATGCACACACTAATTCCGACTTTATTACTGAAATGTAAACAAATTCTGATTTTCATACACCACAAAAAGTGTAATAGCTGGCTTTCGGAGGGGTTTGTAATTCAGAAAGGCCTATCTCTTCAAGTGCACAACTGGGAAAATGTTAAGTTTTCACCAAAGTGTGTTGTCATTTCACTCGGACAATTACCAGCTTGATGAGCATCAGTTCAACATCACTGCAGATTCCTCATGGGTGATGATGGTAGTATTAAACCTGGTCTGAAATGATATATTCAGCAGTTTCTAATGCTATCTGTCTCCATTCTCATCTGCCAGAAAACCTTTTGATGCATGAGCTATTACCTTACCCCAGAGTTCATTGGACCATGGGCAATGAAGACAAACCGGTGATATCAAATAAGTAATGGCAGGTCGTGGTCTCCTTCTCTCCCTTCTGCTCTTCACTTCCATCC